TCGATTCGATCCGAAAATTCTGGATATCCGTAAACTTTCGAATCAAAGCAAATACTAAAAATCAATATCCGTTAAAATCGAAGCAAATCACAAATATTAAAATTTTGGGAAGCGGATATCCGATCCGATCCGGAAATATATAAATACATGTATATTTTGATTATATTTAAAATTTTAAATGTATAACATTATTATTATAGCTTATGATTTGACTAATTAGATTCTCATTATTACTTATATAAAATTATTAGATAAAAATAAGAGAAAATTTATGAAAATTATAAAAAAAAAATCTTAAGTTTTGTGTTATTATAATTGTTAACTTAAACTTAAAAAATTTTAAAAATATGTAAATTCACTACTTCTTTATTTTTTATTTTATATATCATGTAAAAAATATTTTAAAAAATAAATTTATATCAAATTTTTAAGATTATTTGTAACGGATGAGATATTCGTAAGTATTCGTAAATATCCGCAAATATCTGTTTATTTTCCGGATATCCGTTTTTCCGGATATCCGTATTTTTCCGAAGCAAAGCAAATACCAAAATCAGATATCCGTAACATACGAAGCAAATCACAAATACTTTCGAAAACCCGGATATCCGATCCGTGCCCACCCCTAATTACAATTTCTTGTGATTTAACCAAAAGTTAGTAGAAAATCAATATATAACACTCATATATTGACCAAATCAATTATATTATTACTAATATTTCAACATTTTAAAAATAACTAATCGTAAATATCATCCCCAACTATATAATGTCTAGGTTTATTTTCAAACCAATCACATAAAAGTATAAAACTGTTTAAAAATAACAAAGAATATCCTTAAAAATAAAAATCCTTGTAACGTATTTCCTTGAACTTCGGGGGCCATTTGACTATTTTAGGAGACTATAATCTACCAATACTTAATCGACACGTCATAATAATATGCCACATAATACGAAAATTAGAGGCTTTGCGCTTTGTCACTAATTATTTTAATTAATTTATTTTAGTTCCGATAACCTAAAAGCAAAAAGGAAGCAACCATTATCATCATCTGTTCTGTAATGTAATCGCCAGAAAGAAATTATTTTGATTTCGGATTTCCTCTTTCTTCCTTCCTTCTCTTAAACAACAAAAACTCTTTTCATTTTCCCGCACTTTCTCACCCGAAGGAAGGAACTTTCTCCCCACCCCCCGGAAAATGAGGTGGGAAAGGGTCCGACAACAACAAGTGGGTCTCGGTGAGTCTTCCTCCGGGCCCGGTAAGAGGTGGGGACACACTTGTAACTCCGTTAAAGGAGGTAGCTTTCTCTACGTTTTCGGTGGCTATGGCACAGATAATCGCCAAACCAATCAAGTTCATGTCTTCGACGCTGGTTAGTTCCTCTTCTTGTCGGATTTAGGTTTGATTCCGTTCGTAAGAATGTCCGAACCTTATCCTGTTTTGTTCTGTTCATCCGTGCATGTTGTATATGCACATTTTATATTGAAAGCTTTGTCCTTTTTAATCCATTACATTGTATCTTACTTGAATGATTACAGCTTGGTATTAAAATGATTTTGACTTGGTCTATTTTGGTTTAGTTGATGTTACTGTGTTGATCTTTGCTTGCTGCAGCAAAACAGATATGGACTCAGCCGATGATCAGTGGCACGCCTCCTCCTCCTAGGGACAGTCACAGCTGCACAACAGTTGGCGACAACCTTATTGTGTTTGGTGGTACTGATGGAATAAAATCTCTCAATGATTTGTACATTCTTGACACTTGTAAGCTTTCTTTTTTTTTGTGTGTATTTCAAGCTTCCTGTTTAAAGTTAATTCTGAATTGGGTTTGTTTGTTTTGTTTGTTTCCATTTGTGGTTAATAGCTTCACATACTTGGAAGTGTCAGAGTGTTAGGGGGGAAGGACCTGCGCCAAGAGAAGGTCATAGCGCCACGCTCGTTGGTAAAAGGCTTTTTGTATTTGGTGGCTGTGGGAAATCTTCTGATGTTAATGACGAAATCTATTATAATGACCTTTACGTACTTAACACAGGTACTAATGTTTTTTTATGCCATGGCTTTCTTCAATTGGCATGTGCTAATCTATTCCATAACATTCATCTCTTATGCATTGATTAGAAACAAGTGCAAACAATACTTTTTCTTGCCTTAATATCGAGTTTGTGCTACATTTTTCTTAGAGACTTATGTATGGAAACGTGCTGCTACGATTGGGAATCCACCATCTGCCCGAGATAGCCACACTTGCTCATCGTGGAAGAACAAAATCGTTGTGATAGGTGGTGAAGATGGACACGACTATTATCTCTCTGATGTTCATATCCTTGACACAGGTGCAAAACCATTTCCCAAATTCATGTTCTATCTGATGGTTAATGTAAGTTTTTTTTAATGTCCTATGATATTTTCCTTTTTACTTTCAGATACATTCATATGGAAGGAGCTGAATACTTCAGGGCAGTTGTTGACACCTCGAGCTGGTCATGTTACTGTTTCCCTTGGGAAGAACTTGTATGTGTTTGGAGGGTTTACGGATGCTCAGAGTCTTTACGATGATCTCTTTGTGCTTGATCTTGGTACCTAAACTGAGACGATCATTTGATACCATTGTCATATTGGTTTCTGTGTCTCGGAACTCGATAGCATATTAATATTATTGTTTCTTTGTAGATACGTGTGTGTGGTCAAAGGTTCTTACCATAGGAGAAGGTCCATCTGGTAGATTCTCTTCTGCAGGGGCTTGTTTAGATCCTCACAAATCCGGATTTCTTGTCTTTCTTGGTGGCTGTAATAAAAATCTAGAGGCACTGGATGATATGTTCTACTTACACACTGGTTACTTTCCACCAATCTCTCTCTTCAACTTGCTAATTGGGCATTTCCTTTCTAATCGTTTTTAAAACTTTTGGTTTCAATAGGACTTGGATATGATGCAAGGCTTGATCAAAATGTAGGGAGCATGTCTCTGAAGAAGCAACTGAAGTTGAAATGCCAAGAACAAAGTCATGCAAGTTCCTTATATGATAAACCTCTTGTTGGAATCAATATGGATCATCAAGGTGTGTTTAAGCAAACAAATCATGATTAGATAGAAACATTAAAAATAGCATTATCACTATCATGTTTATGATTGCATTTGTTGCAGGAAGAGGGAGTTTTGGTTTGAACAATGGCCAAATTGATCAGGGGAAAATGATGTTTCAAGCTAAGGTAACCGAGAGGTACCCAGTTGGTTACAGTATAGAAACAATGATAAATGGGAAAGTGCTTCGTGGCGTTTTGTTTTCAACCAAGCAGAGCTCCGTTCTGGCGACTGATCAAAGCTTGAGTAGGCGAGTGCTTAAATCAATTTCTTACTTTCGTTTTTTGGTTAGGTGGTTGCATTGTTTTGTGAACAATTTTGTTTGTTGCTGTACAGAAAGAGGCCATCTATGTCGAACGGTGACCAGGATAACAGTTTAAAGATACCAAGAAATTTGAGCAAGGAACAAACTGATGCTACTGAATCCAAAGATTCTCCATCAATGGGCATGGATGGTGGTGGTAGTGGTCTCATCAGCAACCCTCTGGATGTTAACATAAACACAGAGGCAGTGCCACCTCAGCTCGATATGGTAATTTTAATAGTATATCCCGAAAATCTGATTATGCAGTTTACTTATTGGAAAAATCTGTGTGCAGGGCAATGTGAATACAGCAGCTCCATCTTCATCAGTGCCTGAGACAGATGAAGCTTCTTTAGAATCTAGAAATGCAGTATCAATTGATGTTGGAGCTACTAATAAGACCGGACCTGGAGAGTCATCATAGCTAACAGAACAAAGGTGATTGAACCACTAGATTACACAACAACAAGAGGTGAAGCCAAATGCAGAGCTAAAAACCATTTGTGTCTAACTCTGTTCCTTTTAACAGTTGATTTTGCAGATGAGAGATTCAACAAGATAGGATGAAGAGAGGATGAGTTTAGTTTAGAATCTAAGTTAGGCTTTTGTTGGTGACTTGTTGAGGATGAGGACAAGGAGAAGCTAACTCTCAGTTAGGTTTTATTTATTTATTTCTTCTGCTTAGTTATTCAACTTGCAAATCAGTGTAAAAGTTTTCGCCTTTTTGGGTATGGTTTTGGATTTCAAGTAAATTTTGAACCGATCCGGACATGAACCGAATCCAAACCGATAAATTTTAATTAACTTACTGGATCTAAATATCTAAAATCCAAAAGATCTGGAGCCAACGCAAATCCTAGTTCCAGTGAAGAATAAAATATTTTCATAAGTTAGTTACGAATCCGATTAACAGAAGTTTAATGCGTAATTACATAAACGACTCGCTCAATTGTTGGTCTGAAAATTGGTTATTTATAAATTTCGAGATTCTTGTAAACCAGTTTGGTTATTGATAATGGTGTGGTTTACAAATATAAACCGATTGTAAACCGGTTTGGTTATTGATAATGTTATGGTTTACAAATATAAACCGAAAAAACAATCGGTAGGTTATTTGCCCTTCCTCTCAAATTCCGCCGCGCCGCTGCCTCTCTGGAGGAACGTTCATCTTTCTCAGAGACACTCTTTGCCGTTTGAGTTGCCCTAAACAATCCCTGGAGAAACGAAGGTTCAAAATTTACCAAAACTTTTCTGAATGTAGTGTTTACGTCTCTGTTTATTTATTGTGTCATATCTTTATATGCTTCATTAACTTTATAGTTAACGGGTTTTGCTAAAGTCGTTGGCTTTTGGTGTTATAAGGGATTAAGAACACTGCCCATCATGTTTTCAAAGTAGAATGCTATTAGAATGTGCGTTCTTTTCTTAGATGAATTGCTTTGTCTTGTGAAGTATTTGGTTGGGCTGTCTGTTTATACACTTATTGTTTTCTTTGTTGTCTTCACATGTTTTTCTCTGTGTGTGTTTGAAACATAATTACTTTGTGCTAAACTTTAAGTAACGTTTCGCTGGGTAGTTTTCTATCTGCAGCTTATTTTGAAGGCAGACTATGGGTAAGAACAAGAACAAGGGAATCGTGGAGACTGTTTCACTGGAAACAGTTCCAGAAACTAGTGCTACGCTTCATCATCATATAGACCCAACAAAGGAAGATTCACCAGCAGATGAAAATATGAGTGGTTCCAGTAGTAAAAAATCAAAAAGAAGAAAGAAGAAGAAGAGTAAAGAGGAAGCTTTGGGTGAAGATGAGAAGACGTTGGATGTTTCAGCAAAAAACACTGACGAAGATCAACTGCATCCACCCAAGAATCCTTTGTCAAACATTACAGCACAAGAAGATTCGTGCCAACAAGCTCAAGATTCATGTGAAAAGCCTGGAGATTCAGAGCCAGGTGCTCTTGATATGACTTCTTCTGAGGGAACGAAAAAAAGAAGAAAGAAAAAGAAAGCCAAGGATATAAATGCGCTGGGGGAAAACAGTGTTGATACCAATTCGGAGGTTACTACTAAATGCGATGCTAAGCACAATTCTGAAGCTCAAGGATCAAATTTGAAGAGTAAGAAGAAAAAAAATGTTGATGGTACTGTGGTAAACGGTTCTCTAATATCCAAGGATGATACAGAGGATCAGCTAGAGTGCGCAGATGCCAAAGCTGGTGATACTGTGTCTGAGACTCAGAATCCTAAAGCCAAGAAAAAGAAGAGGAGAAAAACTGAAACAGTGGAGGTATCCGATGCATTAGAAAATACTCTAGCAACCTCCATGGAGAGTGGGCCAGTAGAGTGTATGGAAACTGCTGGCGTATGTGAAGTAAAGAGCAAAAAACGGAAGAAAAAGAAGAAGACGTCATCGACCGATCAGGAAACTGCAGATATGGAGGTCTGTGATCCATCAGAAAGTACTTTACTAGGCACCATAGAGAGTGGATCAGTAGGGTGTTTGCTGGATCATTCAAACAACGAAGTTATGGAACATTGTGATAAGAATGATGGCGAAGAGTTTGTGGGCGAGGATAGGTTGAGTAAAACTGAAAATTCTGCAACAGGAGAGATATGTGAACCTAAACAAAAGAAGAGCAAGAAGAAAAAGTCTTGTGAACTAACTGAGGAAGTTAGTGAACCTAAACAAAAGAAGAGCAAGAAGAAGAAAAAGTCTTGTGAACTAAGTGAGGAAGTTGGTGAACCTAAACAAAAGAAGAGCAAGAAGGAGAAAAAGTCTTGTGAACTAAGTGAGGAAGTTAGTGAACCTAAACAAAAGAAGAGCAAGAAGGAGAAGAAGTCTTGTGAACTAAGTGAGGAAGTTAGTGAACCTAAACAAAAGAAGAGCAAGAAGGAGAAGAAGTCTTGTGAACTAAGTGAGGAAGTTAGTGAACCTAAACAAAAGAAGAGCAAGAAGGAGAAGAAGTCTTGTGAACTAAGTGAGGAAGTTAGTGAACCTAAAAAAAAGAAGAGCAAGAAGAAGAAGTCTTGTGAAGATCACGAAACTGACGATATGGATGCCGAGAAGGATGATGTTTCTGTACCTAGAAATGAGGGAGAATTAGAAGTAGACAGGGAAAAGCTTGATACACATCTGTCAAGTTCTGTCTTAATACACGATAATATGACTCAAGGAGTTGTTGCTTCACAAGAAACTGCAGATTTACCTAGATGCTCATGCAATGGTCAAAGTAGCAGAAAATTGGTTGTATTTGATTTGAACGGAATCCTTGCAGATATTGCTCGAGGGAACACGGGTAAATGTGTTCCAGATGGTAAAATATCTTCCAGATCAGGTAAGAAACAATCAATCTCAATCACTTGTAAGTTCTTACATGCATCTTGACTCTTGAGTAATTTTTTTGTGTGTGTGTGTTCTTCTCTACAGTTTTCAAGAGACCTTTTGTTGCTACTTTTCTTGACTTCTGCTTTGAGAAGTTTGATGTTGGGATATGGTCTTCTAGACGCATGTAAGCATCTTTACCTGATCCAATATTCAAATGCATCATTTGTTCTAATGCATAGAAGCTTAATGCCTCCACTAACTCTCTTCTTTTCTTTTACTCTTACAGTGGGTTGGATTATATGACCCACATTGTCATGGGAAATCATGCGAGAAATCTACTATTTAGTTTTGTAAGTGATCTCTACAACATTTATGCGAAACGCTGTAAACAATATAAGTATGGAAATTAGTTCTAATTTGTTTATTTTCTGGTTTCCATATATGTACACAGGGTCAAAATAAATGCATTACAACAAAATTCAAAACCCTGGAGAATACTACTAAACCTCTGTTTCTTAAGGATCTGAGAAAAGTCTGGAATCGTTTTGGGACATGTCTTAGTTGTAGAAAACAAAAGTATGATGAGACAAACACTTTGCTTGTAGACGATTCACCTGACAAGGCATTGTGTAATCCTGTAAGTACTAAAACACTTGCAACCAGACATATATGTATTCAATGTATGTAATTTCACATTTCTTAAACATAACATTGGTTGGTATAATGTATTCTTCTTATTCTCTTTCAGCCACACACTGGCATTTTTCCTTTCCCGTACCAGTACACAGACCGTGAAGATTCTGCATTGGGTAAGTCTTTTTTTTTCTTCTTAAACACCGCAGCATTAAGTTTTGCAACATCAAGATTCATATTGTTCTTTTACATTATCTTATGCGGTTTAATTCACTTATATTTCACATCTTGAGAACAGGACCTGATGGTGAGCTAAGGAAGTACATGGAGAGGTTAGTGGATGCGGAGAACGTTCAGAAGTTTGTGGAAGAGAATCCAATTGGTCAATCTGCAATAACCGACAGGCATGAATCATGGAGTTTCTACTCTAGGGTCATCGAGGCACATAAAAAGTAAAATCAATCCAGGGGATTTTTGACTGAGTAACTCCTCTATGTTTAGTTGCTTCTTGATAGCTTACAACTTTCAATGTTCATTCGGAGATAGGATTATGCTAGTTCTAGAGAAAAACTGTACTAGTGAAACTTTATCTTGAGAAATGTACTTTTATTTATCTCTTGTGTTCTACAAAGACTAACTCTTCAATTAATGGTTATGTATTAAAAAATTTCCCACAATAGTAAGAAACAAAAGAAGCTAATCATGCATAATGGCTGTGGAGCTAGCAATACTGTGTTATACGAAAATAAAATGTGGGGGAGATAACGTAGAAGAAAATTCAAACTCTTCCTAGTTAGTTGGTGACCTAACTACTAAAGCATGTTTTTCCATTTACAACTATCTTCTTTGTTTATGAGCATGTGAATCTGTTCTATAACTTAAATCTTATCTTTAATGTCTACCTAAACCAATTTGATTATTGAAAAGATAAACAATCTTAATAATTTTCATTTGATTTAGAAAAGGGAACATCAATATAGGAAAAAGGAAGATAATAATGTGGATATGATAAGTCTCAACGAGAAGACAGAAGTCACATGCAGAGGGAGACATCTGAAGAACAGAGTTTAAAACAAATCACATCCACTTGTCACACAATCTCCACTTCTCTCCTGTCCCTCTCTCTAATCTCAGATCAATTCTAATTTTATTATTACTCATCAGAAATGTTTTGTATTGTTCTCTGAGCAGAAACAAAGAGTAAAAAAAACAGAGTAGCATTTGGCAGAGATTCCTCTGTTCCCTCTACCTCTTCGTCTTTTTTTCTTGGCTTTATCAGTTTCTCAGTATCTATATACTTCCTGTCTTATTCTCTTGGGGTTTGTGAGATTTTTCAATGTACATTTTCTAAATCTTCTCTTCTACTGGTGGTGGAGAGCAATGGCTTTCACATTGAGCTTTGTCTGTGCCAATTTTATTGGAATCTAAAATGATAAAAAAGTTTTTGGAATGATATGAAAATATGGAAGATACGTCACTCTCGTTATGGTTCCATGGTGGTTGCTGTTGAGTGTTGATGGAGATATAACAAAAAAGTTTAGTAAGAAAAAAAAGACTACAACACACTATCAAGTTCAAGATTCTCTTCCACTAAACTTCAACTAATCACATGGCTGCAAAGCTTCTGCATACATTGGCAGATGAAAACTCTGATCTGCAGAAGAAGATTGGATGTATGAATGGGATTTTCCAACTCTTTGATCGCCACCATCTTCTTACAAACCGGCGTAAAAGTCACGTTTTAGGTAATCATAATAACTCTTTGTGTGCCTTCTTAGATCGTGTCTCTTACTCGTTGACCTGTAAGTGATCATATGTTCTTAACTGTATGTCCACATATATTAATACTTGTGCCTTATTTTGATCTTATGTGTTGTTGTTGGTGTTGCAGGTAATGCACATGTCAATAGTATCACCTTTGAAACTAACAAGGGCAGTGCTACTAGCGAGAAACTAACAAGGGTATCAACAGAGTCTTCAAGGGTATCTTTCTCATCTTCGTGTTCATCATCTTCACTGTTGTCTTCTGAGCTCAACAGAGAAGAAGCTCAACCTGAAATATCACCATATGACCGGGTCATTTTTCCAGAGTCTCCCCCGAGTGATCCAGTGATGAGCCGAGGAGATGGGTTTGCTGCTGCACATATGGGACTTGATCTTAGAGATGTTGTTAGAGACTCTATGTATAGAGAACTTAGAGGGCTTTCTGAAGTTTGTAGACACAAGAGAAGAGATGATTCTCCAAGACCTTATGGTTTGAAGCACTCCACGCCTGTTGATTTCAATGAGTCCTGCAAGGCTTTAGCCAAACTTAGGAAAGCATCTCAGCATTATTACAACGAGGTTGATATGAGGGATGATTCTCACAACAAGTTGATATCCGGGAGGAAGGTGAAAGAATCTCCTAAGCTTTCGTTTGACAGTAGAGACCAGTTTGATTTCAAATCAGGTAATAGTAATAAGCTTTCTGAGAGTTTTAGTAGAAGCTCTAGCATGAAGAAGGTTTCAGGTGGCACGAAACGTCCTCCTAGTGTTGTTGCAAAGCTAATGGGTTTGGAAACATTACCTGTTTCTCCATTGGGCAGAGACAAGACCAACAACATGTTTGGTGATAACACTAGCTCACCAAGAAGCTTGGGGAAGGACCCAGCTTCTTCTTCTCCTCCTCCAAGATGGAGAAACTCTGAGTTTGTTATGAAGCCATCATCAAGTTTGAGATTCCCCACTGAGCCAGCTCCATGGAAGCAATCTGATAGAAACCAGTTTTCTCAGAAGCAGCAAGCCTGCAGGCCTGTGAAAGCTCTGTTGCAGTCAATGGAAGGAAGGCTGAAAGGTGTTGAGTTTAAGCCTTCAGGAAAGGATCTCAGAGCTCTTAATGAGATAGTAGAGACAATGCAAACAAAAAGTGTGTTCAGTTCTAGAAAGCAGCCACAATGCTCAAACTCAAGAGGTCTACAGAATCAGGTTATTCCACCAACTATGAGAGGACCTATTGTGATTATAAAACCTGCAAGACTTGTTGAAAAATCTGGTATCCCTTCATCTTCTCTCATTCCCATTCCTAGTCTATCTGGTCTTACTAAAGAAGAAGAATCTGTGCATGTTAAAAGAAACTCAACTAGTAAGAAGCCGGCTAAAGAACGTAGTATCAGTTCTGTTGATAGCAAATCTAGCAGCAGAAACGTGCGGTCTTCTCAGGTTTCCAAAGAGAGCACAAGTCCAAGATTGCGTCAGGTGAAGAAGCATGAGAATGAAAAGTGTTCTCGGCCACCAACCACTCCATCTGATTCAAGAAGACAAAGAAACCGGCAACCTGAAGAATCTACTACTTCTCATGGTGGTAGGCGTAGTAGACCCAGGGCTAAGCGGATCTTGCAGCAAAATAACGACCAACAATGTAGCACTGAAACAGAAGCCAAACAAGCTACTAAAGCCGGTGAGGGAAAGAGTCCAACTGTAACAGAGGCAGCCAAAGCTGTAGTCTCTAACTTAATGCAGAATGTGAGTGACAAACATTGCGAAGAAGACCAGTGGAATCCAGCTTACAGCTTCTCAGAGACAACAACAACAACCACTTTATCACCAGAGATAAACCGAAAGAAGCTACAGAACGTTGAGCACTTGGTTCAAAAGCTGAAAAGACTAAACTCTAACCATGACGAAACCAGCCAAGACTACATTGCATCACTATGCGAGAACAAAGATCCCAACACCGATCACAGATACATATCCGAGATTCTGTTAGCCTCAGGTCTTCTCCTCAGAGACTTAAGCTCAGAGTTAACCACGTTTCAGCTCCACCCTTCAGGTCACCCGATAAACCCTGAGCTATTCCTCGTTCTTGAGCAAACTCAAAGAAGAAGCAGTAATGAGAAGCTCAACCGCAAGCTTGTGTTCGATGCTGTTAATGAAACGCTCGTGAAGAAGTTAGCTTTTGTCGAAGAGGGCACGTGGATGAAGAGGAAGGTCTTATTAAGCGCACAACAGCTATTGAAAGAAGTATGTTCAGAGATAGAAACGCTGAAAAAACAAACCAAGAAAAGAGAAGGTAACTTGTTGTTGTTGGAGGATCAAGAAGAAGACTTCTTGAAATGTATATTGGATGAAGATGTAACGACTCGATCTGAGAAATGGATAGAGTTTGAAGATGTAGTACCTGGTTTAGTGCTTGACTTAGAGAGGCTTCTCTTCAAGGATTTGGTGAATGAGATCGTGCATGGTGAGATTGGTCGGCTACTAGTTAGTAGTTACTGATTCATAAGCTCGTTTTTGATCTATATGTATTATAAAAACATTAATATAACTAATACAAAGTCAAATGTCATGTAAACATTACAGTTTACTATTTACAGTGTTACAAAAAAAAAAAAAAAACTATTTACAAGTTCATCGCCGATCAGCTAAATCAACGGTCACGATTAACGTAAGCATTAATGAACGGACAAGATTGTCCCGTAACGAATCGGAGTCTTTAACAATAAAGTCAGGGTTTTTCTCATTGTTAAGCTTAGAACTGAAAGACGTTGGGGTTAGCCACGCTTGTCGAGACTTCTCATCATCCACAGAGAGACTCAAAAGGTGTGTAAAGGCATTTGCTTTCAAGAATCCAACAACTCTGTTTCGACTGAAAGTTAAACATTCGTGGATCTATACGTGTCTTGGAATTGATTTGGAGCCGACATGTGTTCTGTCTGTGTTTCGTTTTCTCGGTCCTAACTGATGTAATAGTATGGGTCTATTAGGAAATGGATTAGTGAGTTAAAGTTGTAAACTTTGAATTGATTTCTTGTAGATACATAGATCTGTTCATGAGTTTTTACAAATCCATCTCCATTTCTGGGGTTTTATTCTGTTTTGATGTTTGTCTGTATGGAAAATTTTGCTTGCAGATTGAAGAAAGATGCATTACATGGGATTGTTTAGTAAAGCTGGTAACATATTTAGGCAGCCTAGAGCTATGCAGGCTGCAAACGCTATGTTACAGGGCAATCTTTCGTTGACCCCATCCAAACTCTTTATTGGAGGTTAGAACTCTAAAAAACTTTTATAATAGTTTGTTTTTTTTTTGTTGGAGGTTAGACTCCAAGCATCTCACCCTGTTATGTGGTGCCTCTTCTCAGGTCTCTCACCAACTACTGATGTAGATATCTTGAAAGATGTTTTTGGCAAATTTGGAAAAATCGTTGATGGTATAGTAGCTATCTGTCATTTCGCAGCTGATTGGTTTGTCTTCCTTATTGCTGACTAATATATGCTTTTGTTCTTCACAGTGGTAGTGATTTCGGACCGTGAAACTGGTGTATCAAAGGGGTTTGGTTTCGTAACATATGACTCGATTGATGCTGCTAATAAGGCAATGCAACAGATGAATGATCAGGTGATACCAATTTTCCAGCTTCTTTGGTTACTTAATATCATGAGTCTAGTTTCTTTCTCGCTTTGTTTTCTTTCATTACCCTTAAGTATCTAGTACACTAGTTTGTGTATTATCACCTCGCTTGTATTGCTAGTCATTGATCTCTCCTTTGTTGATACAAACTCTCTTTAGAGAATCGAAATTATGAAGTGAAGCCATTTGTTTTTGTTGCTGTACTTATGGTTTGATACTGCCTTGGTGCTTCAGACAAGGATGCAATTGTTTTCTCTTTAATTCTTGCTTGGTTGAAAGAACCTGACATTCATAGAGTTTCTTGCTTGGTCAGGAGCTTGATGGGCGAATAATTGGAGTGAACCCAGCTGATGCAGGAGGCGGTGGAGGTGGCTTTGCAAGAAGGGGAGGTTATGGTGGTGGTCGTGGTGGATTTGGTAGAGGTGGGTTTGGTCGTGGTGGATTCGGACGTGGTGGCTATAACTTTGTTCGTTAACTTGGCATCTCGGAGTGTCTACTTCCAAGATTGATTAGTCTGCTGTTTGGTTTTCTATTCACATTAGACCAATTTTTTTTGTTATACCGTTCACTGAAGCTTGAATAAACAAATGAAACAGCTATAGTTGGCAAAAACATGTGTTGGTTCAATGGAATTTCACATTCAAAAGAGAGTACACATGTCTTAGATATGAATAATGAGTTAAGATAAATGGAACTAATCAGTATAGAGAGAGGCTCTTTTTAGTTCAATGAGTTAATGAGAGGTTCAAAATTGAAGATAAGCCAATCTGCTTCTGCTGCAACAGCTTCACGAAGCTGAACTCCAGCGTAGCATATGAACATATCCGCGCCACCAGGTTTACGTGCCTGCAAGTGAAATAGTTTTTAGTTAGTTGCTCATTTGAGATCAATCTCTTGGTTATATGTTTAAGAAAGAAGCTTACTTCGAGATCAGTAGCTCCGTCTCCAATCATGGCCATAGTCTTGTAGAGACGACCCTGAAAAGAACCAAGTCTCAATGGTACGGTACATAGTGTTGTATTCAACTAGAGATGTGGAAAGTAGGAAAAGTTTGATGAACCTTTCGTATATGTTGCACTGCCTTGGCTTTGCCTCCACTTCTTGATGTAGGTTCATTCTCATCAAAGCCCACAAACTCGCCGGAATTTCCAAATAGAAGATTGTTGGCAAAGATATTCTCTCTAGGAATGCCAAGAATCGATGCTACAGGCTACAGTGGAAAGATATTCATTCAAAACCTTATCATCATTATTCTAGTAGCCTGTCTACAAATGAACTGCTTAGAAACAAGTGAAATGGAATAGAGAGTCAGAGAGTACAGTACATTGATCATCTGTCGAAAGCCTCCAGATATCAAATAGACATCAATTTTATTGGCTCTGAGCTTTTTGACCAACTCTTCAATGCCAGGGGATAGCCTACACAAAACCAAAGAAACACACTAAAATGAAAGTAACGTGAACATGGTCAGTTCCACATAGACATAGCAGAGAATCAGGCAAGTTGGTTGTTAACATCTGTTTGGTCAAAGTCCACTTCAAGACAAGAGCTTCAGCCAATGAAACACTTACATGTAAATTTCTATTTTCTGTATGTGACTTGAAGCAAAGTGAACCAAGGGGAATAGCTCGCACATACTAAAGAATAATATGCAAGGGGGTAGACAAAATCAGTACCTTGGGGGTGTCTTTTGGAGATATTCATCAACTTTGGAAAGAGAAGGCTTGAACAAAGAAAGCCTTGCAGCTAGAGCTTCTTCAAATGGAACGGATCCACCCATTGCTCTAAGAAACCCAATACTCAATATGTTTAGGGTAAAAGAAAGCCTAAGAAAAATCATTAGAGAGCTCTAGTGTTTAGATGGAACACAAACCTGGCAGTCCATTCAGCAACAGCCTTTCCAGCTCCACAAAACTCTGCAAGCTCATCAATACCTTCATCCACACAAACCGTGCTATCTACATCGAAGCATACAGCTTCCACATTTCTCCAAAGATCAAGAATCTCTAGTAATCAAGAAAAACCAAAAACCAAAAGTACAAATTTAGATGCAAGAAAATACAAAAACTATAAAATCAATTTAAAAAAAGCTTTAAATAGTTTTCTATTTTTAATTCATAACACTCTTTCAACATATCTCCTAGTACAAGAGGTACACAATTGCACAACCATGTACCAGATGTTACTCCCTAAACAGAAAGTAAGTAGTAACCTTTAGAAGGAACAGTGTTGCCTTCATGCCCCAAAGCCGACACCCTCAGCGGCTGCACAGAAGCAGTCACTGGATGAACCAAAGGATGGTTCATGATCGAGACACTGCCTCTTCTACAAGGATATCTCCTTAACTCAAGGCAAGACAAATCAGCAGAAAAAGATGAGAGCTTTCTAAATGGAACTTGAACTGGAACAACCCTTGAAGTAAGTAACGCTTCCATTAAAACTACAAACCAAACAAACAAGACAACAGTTCATTCTATAGAACATCAGAACCCAAGAAGACATTATATAACATCACTCTCTAATTCATTATACACCAAACTCATAGAAATCTTCATCAAAAAAAATTGAGACCTAGAAGAGCTAAAATGTAGAAATGAGAAAATGTGTGTAAAGATTTTAACATGATTCCAGGTGTGATCTATCAAATCACTAATCAAGAAGAGATTAATGATGTAAGATTGGGATCAGAGATCTGCACCGTTAGGAGGAAGAAGAAGATACAAGAAAAGCTTACATACCGGAGAAAATCGCCGGCGGTTGTCACCGGCTGCTGGTCGTAGGATCTATTAGTTAAAAAGTAAACTGAGAAGAGTGTTTGAGTTGTTGTAATAATAACCTTAGAATGACAATATTACCCTTTATTAATTAAAGACTTGTCATGAAATGAGACTTTGTCGGCAAGTAACTAATTCCGGTGAAAGATAGTATAACCTTAAATATTGCCGTCTCCTTAACAATCAAAATGTACAATTCTTTTTTCAGAGCCAAGTGGATAACAGCTAAGAAATAAAACATGCAAAGATTGAACAAAACAAGTTCCCTCAAAAGATTCGATTAGTGAGAGAGACAGAGAGAGAGACCCACATTCACATGATCAACAGTCCAACTTAGTTGTTGTTTACTACTAGATCAACACAAGTAGAAGAGCATGAAGAATCCATATAAAAAATAAAATGGTAGTAGCACTTGGGTTTTGAAGTTTGGATCCAAAGGAATAGGAAGGATCAGTGTAATCTGGGTTGAAACCACCGGCTGGAATACCCAAACCTCCTCCTGTTGAAGGTGTGACTGTGTAGGGTCTTGAATTAGTTGTCGTAGGGACTCTTGTCGATGGTGTTGTCGTCACAGGTGTCATGGTCCCACTTCCACTATTACATCAACAAAAAACCAAAAGAGAAAAGTCTATTAAGCCCATATCCTCCACATCAAAGCTAGTTCTAGTTTCAAAACACTAAGAGCACCCCCATCAAAGGTTGATGAGGAGAGTTCACACGGAAACCGAGAAAAAAAATAATATTAAAATCAGATTTCTATGAACCCCTCTCTCAAAAGTTCACCGCGGTGAACCCCGATAACCCCGGGTTCACCACGTGTCAACATATGATTGGTCCAAAATTAATTTATTTTTTTTTAAAAAAAAATAAACAAAAATAAATAAAAAAAATTATTTTTTTATTTCTATGAACCCCCAATGGGGGGTTCATCAATGTGGGTGCTCTAACAAATAAGTGGAATGTGGGTGCTCTAACAAATAAGTGGTGTGTGTACCTGGCACTTGCAGGAAAAGCACAAGAAGTGTAGCCTATATGATCATAACACCACAAGAGACAACAGTTACTAATAAAGTATAGTATCTTCTAAAATATGTGTAGAGAATTCTTGAGTTGCTATTTTAATATATATATTTAGATATCAAGAATCAACATCATTCACATTGAAACATGTGAAGTTATTTGATATATACTAATCCTCTATGATTTGCTTTTCAAGTTGAGTTCCATTTTCTACTCTACTTACCTACTTGGGTTACCAAATGTGAACCATGGTCTCAACACATTGTTTAAGACTTAATCTAATGAATGAGAGTAGATGTTAGTGGGGGAAGAGACTCACTGGGATCAGAGGCTGAGACAGTGGCTGTACCGGAAAAGTCACAACTTCCCTGAGACTGACCTTTCTTCTGGAAGAAGCTGTTGACGGCGTATGAGCAGTGAGACTTGACGGTGTTAGGGTTAAAGCAAGGTCCGTTTTGGTGAATAGGTCCACAGTCAGCTCCTGCGCCACATGCGTAGTCTAATGTCTTCTGCAGCATTGCTTCGCTTAATCCTTCTCTGCATACACACCATGTCCCACCTACACACACACATTTTCATGACCACATATAATTTATCATCTTTTATTCACCAAACTATGTGCGTAGAATGTTTAATTCAAGTAGGAACAAGGTTGTTGTTATTAATATAAAAAGAAGTAACGCCTTTTTATGAAAAAAAAGTATGAGCATAGCAAGAACGGGTCCTACTTTTTAGAAAATTTCATTCAAACTATGAAAAGCTAAGAAAATTTCATTGAACAGAGCTGGTTAAAGCAAGCATTTGAGAAAGAAAAAGGTTTAAAAAGATCCGTGTGGTGTGAAACAGAGAAGTGTTATTATATTTCAAATTTGCAGCATTTTAACAGAGAAGAGTGTCTTACTTGAGTGACCAACCATAGCCAACAAAATCACAGAAAGAACAACAACAGCCATGGTATTGCACCAGAGCTAAGCACAGGATTTGGATGCAGCTAGTTGCTCTGATGAGAGAGAGAATGGAAGAGAGGAGAAGAGAAGGTTTTGAAGCTAACAAAGAGTTGTGGGAGAAGAGAGAGAAAGAGAGTCATTGCATTGAAGACTGTGAAAAACAAAAGAGTCATTTATACACACTCTCTGTACTCTTATACATATCACTGGAACAATGGGAAGAGAAATAGGACTCAAACAATATTAATATGAGAAAATTGAAATTTCTAAACCTGAAAATAACTTTACATTATTATTAGTAGTTCCAAAGCTATAAAAATATATCCTCTGAAAACATTTCACGTACAAAAAAAAAAGAAAAGAAATTAATGTTTTTCATTGATGTATATATATGTCAACTAAAATTATGATGCCAACTACCCAAGTCCTACATTGCCTTTGGACGATTACTACATCGGGTGGTGGATCACCAATCAGTCCCTTCGTACCAATTGGATTGTACTGAAACATGCTCATAACTTTGATATGAATACAGAGTATCAAAAGATTCATGTTTAATAAGGCTTAGCACCAAGAAGACCCAATGATTAATCCATAAAACCGAAGTATTCAAACAAGAAGAGTAAAATATGTAGCAAAAGAAAGATGTGTACTATAATGATTGAGAATGTTTCCATGGACTTAGGTCTCAAATTCTCAGTGAATTTAGCATGAGCAACGCTGCTGTAAGAACTTGAAGCTTGTCGCTCAAGTCTTCAATCTGTTCTGGCATTTACAGAAAACAAATAAAAGAATCTTGTAACCAAACTTACACCATTATTTTTCTCACATGTGTTCAAATATTAGATCCTCATGCAAACATGGTTTGATGGTTGTTTCTCCCCATGGCACATCTTCTCCCCCGCATCCTCTTGTACTGACTAGGCCTAACTTCACCTTAACATAGTTACATGTGTTATATAAGTACATAGTGATTCAAAGTTGAACTTAATAATTGGTGGGATGAGCCAAGCCCGTGCAATAGTGCAACACATGGGCGACTCATGACAGCCCAGATAGCAAGCTTTCTTAACGGGCCATCTCCCTCAAAAAATAGAGTTAATATCGTGTGATCCGATGGACCACATATCAGATATTAAACTGATAAGAACAGATACTACACTTGATCTTAGCCAAAAGGCCGAGAAAGGTATGAATTGTTATGAAGCCGGGCCTCATGTTTTATATTGCTTCTCATGCCTTCCATGCTTCTTTCCTTGGCGATGTGGGACGTTTAAAAGAGTTAAGACAAAACAAAACTCTCTCTCTCTCTCTGTTTTAGCCGGTTTATAACCGACGATAGTCTAAACCCTAAAGACAGAAGAAGTCTTCTAATTGCTGAATCTATGAGATTACACCTAAAAATCCCGAGAGCTTCAGTTTCTGTGTAACGTTGTTTTTTTGCAAAACACTCTCTAAAGATGGGACACTACTTCGGCTTCAAGATAGTGGAGAGATACTTGAATATCGACTAGTCTAGATTGCTTGCTATGAGGTTTTATGAGTCCATTTCTTTTGTTGCAGATAATAAGGCGTGGGTTGATGCAATGAACCGGCACCATATACAAGCAAGAGATAAAACTTGGACATTTGTTCATAAGAAAGTTGACAAAAAATGATTTATTAAGCAATAATATAAGATAATTAAGAGATACTTGCAGGATCATTATCATCCTTGGTCGAGCCATTGTTGTAGAGTTTGCTTGCGAGTGTATTGTAGCCAATTTACCATACCTTTGTGGATACATTTCTGTTAATTTGGTGGAACGTGACTAATTATTATACACCATACTGTTATGTTGTACATATCCCAAATACAGTAGATAAGTCCAACGTCACATCCTGATGGGCACACAATCATAGTCCAACATGGCCTCACATACACCATCGTCACGAGAGATCATTAAGATACTATACCCACCAAACATCACCATCATGAAACGAGAGGGTCCCATGGATTAAATCAGTAAATCTTTTTATACAACTCAATTTTATATATTTTTTAAGTGTTATGTAAATGTATAGAAACCTGATGCTATGACACTGCTGACTCTATAACCGCTGTGTTATTATATACTCAAATTTTGAACTCATTAAAGAAGATTAAAATTATGAAATAACATCAAGAACAAATAAAATGCTCCACTGCTTTCTTTGTATTTGCTTGATCATCACAGTTTCTGAAGATCTTGCTATCTTTGTGTCTCTCAGACCATCAAGTAGTTCTTGGAGCTCTCTTCATAATCCACTTGGGAAGCTTTTCATGACACACACAAATTTATACAGAGTCATTTCCCTTGTTTCTTACCTGCAATTCAAAAATCCATACACTTGTTGTTACTCATTGTGATCTTAAATTTCATAGTATATATATAGAGTAAAAAGCACAAAGAGATGAATCATTAAATCACAACATCTAAGCTATTATTGTGCAATATAGTAGAGTAGAGTTTAACCACTTTTTACCTTAAAAATAATATAATACAGTAGATAAAAAAAGCAGAATATGCATTTCCTGTTACTTAGTAGCATAGTGTACCTTTCTGGAACAAAGATTTTCGAACTAACTGGCGAATCTTGCGTTCTTGACGTGCCAAAAGCTCATCAACTCCATAAGATTGAGACAACAAAGGCCCTGAGAACTCGACTTTCTCATCATTGTCTTCGTAGCCCTGTACAAGGTCTTACCTCATTAGCATAATTGAGTATGTTTCTCAACATGTCCTAAAAGAAGACAATCAAATCATGCATGTTCTGCTTTTTCCTCTCAAGATTTTTGGGTGAATAATAAAACAAGGGAAAGTGACAAAAAGAACTTTAAACAATAAAAGCTACTACACTCAGTCAAATACCAATCTGGATTCTCTTTCTACTCATTTTCATTATGTCATATATCAATATCAAGCTTTTGAAAATCAAATAGCATGTAGATGATTGTCATTAGCTTAAATTTAACAATCTCATGAGTCATAACTTTGAATTTTATATAACTTGGTTTGTACTAATATCAACTAGAATTTGGATACTATGAACAAAACAACTAGATGCTATTGCTAGCTTCTGTTATCTACTAACATACCAAGTGATTCAGTTTTGCTGCCTTGTCTTCTCTCTGATAAAGTGCCAATGATAGTTCCTGTGAATGATACTCATCTGAACCATCAAAAGAATCTGGACGTTCAAGTTGTCTCCACTTCTTCAACATCGAAAGCTTCAACATCTCATATGCCTCACGGTCTTTGGAATCTACCCCTGCCCTTTCCTTTTCATTCTCATTGGTCTTAGAGTCAACGTCAGTACTCTCACTAAAAGCAGGAGAAGGTCCCAACAAGTTGGGAATATAACCTCTTGAGAGAGATCTATTATGTGATCTAACAGATATGTCATCTTTTCGTCGCTTTGCCCATGCAAAACCACTTGATACAGAGACTTGCAAAGGCCCTGAGAAAGGTACATCTCCTTGTGATGCGTTCTTGACATGAGAAGCTTCTTCTTTCTCATGTTCTGATGGGTTTTGTAGTTTTCCGTATAAACTGGCGTCGCTGTCAATGGAGTTATGAACTGAATGACCATAACGTTTCTGAAAAGTTTGTGAAGGGCGTCGTGTGTCTTGCACGCAGTTAGCTGGTGGGAGTTTAGCAAATGCAGGTGGCTTTCTTGTTGGCTTCCTAAGTTCTGTACCATGTCTTCCATTACCACTGATCTTTTTCCTAAAAAATTTCAAAATAACATATAAGAGGATAATGAATGAATGCTTCAAGAACTGGCACTTAGAGAATATTAAGACAAAAGATCTCTCACCTTGTTGCATCTTCACGATGCTTTGCATCAATCTCTTTGCTAGGAGAGTAGACAGGCAAGCTTGAGGGATCACAAGCAAAAGGCTCTGAAGTGAAATACTGAAAAAAAACACAAATGTAAAGTCTTTTAAAAAGATGTGACAAAGACAACTAAACAAAGTCTTTTTTTAAACTTGATGATGTCATAGTGGTTGGAAGATTAAATGGTTACCTGAGAAACAAGGGCAGTAGAGGCAGTCCCACGTTTGTGTGGCTCTACAGAAAGAAGAGTTTCTATAAGAGTGACGTCAACTTCAGACAAATCTTTCAAGGTTTCTCTGAGACACCCATCATAATGTTGCTGTGGTTTGAACAGCATTGCATGAGGAAGTTTGGATTTTTTCCAGTAATCTGAAGGTGGAGAGCCACATAGTTTGAATATCTTGTGCAACTGTTCAACCTATAGCATACATTTCAAGAAACAACACACTTTTGAGTGATCAAAAAAAGATCTGAATCTACATATATAAGAAGACAAGATCTTGTGGTTTTACCTCAGTTCTTCCTTGAAGAACAGGTTTCTTGAGAAGAAGTTCAGCAAAAACACAGCCAACACTCCACAAATCTACAGAAGCTCCATACTCCGTTGCACCGAGTAAAAGCTCAGGAGGACGGTACCATAGAGTCACAACTCTACTTGTAAGAGGTTGCTTATTCCCACCAGAAGCATTGCAAAAGTTTGCTAAACCAAAATCAGCAACCTTTAAGACTCCTTCATTATTCACCAGAAGATTCGAACCCTTGATGTCCCGGTGCATCACACCTCTCGCGTGACAGTGATCAAGTCCAGACAACAATTGTTTCATATAACACTTAATCTGCAAAGGCCAAAACAACATTCATTATTTGTACTTTAAATACAGAAAAAAAAGCTCTCAGAACCTGTGGAGTTGTGAAGTTGATGTCAGGGCTTGAGAGAAGACCAGTGAGGTCATGCTCCATGTACTCGAAGACGAGATGTATGTTGCAAGAGAGCTTTGAAGTAACCAAGCCTTGGAGTTTGATAACGTTGGGATGATTGAGTCTTCTAAGTATCAGAATCTCTCTTGCCATGAACCTAACACTCTCTGGCTCAAAATTATCGAACTTTACCTTCTTTAATGCCACTATCCTCCCTGTTTCAGTCTCTCTTGCACGGAACACGCTACTGTACGTCCCTTGTCCAATCTTTAAAAATCACCAGAAAAAAAAAAAACAGAACAAATCATTTAAAAAACAGAGCAAAACAGATCAAATGGTGAAAAAACAGAGCAAAGCAGAGTAAATCGTTAAAAACAGAGCAAAGCAAAGCAAAGTATTCAAAAACAGAGCAAAAGCAGAGCAAATCGTTAAAAAACAGAGCAAAGCAGAGCAAATCATAAAAAACAAAGCAAAAGAAGAGCAAACCGTTAAAAAACAGAGCAAAGCAGAGCAAATCGTTAAAAACAGAGCAAAAGCAGAGGACAGTGAAAGTAATAACCTTTTCGAGCTTTTCGAAAGCGTCAGATCGAAACGGAACCCAACCGTGAATAGCTTCGCCGGCGACGTTGCTCAGCCACGCAGGCCAGCCGGCGGCGACCTGCTCTGCTTCCAAGTACTTGCTCAAGTTACCGAGACGGAAACTCAACGACTCGCTCCTGCAATTCGAACTCGCTCGCCCCGACTCAGTCCCTAACTCGCTCCCGCTCTTCTTGCTGCTACTGCTCTTCTTGCCGCTCTTGCTCCTCCAAGAAACGAGCTTTTTCGGAGAAGGAGGCTCCTCGACCATAATTCGACCCGACCCGGAACAAGCATTGTCCCTGAACACTCCTGAGTGATCAATCGCTGGCGTTACAGAGACGCTCTGCTTCGAGCTCACACAACCCATCTCAAGAAAAAAGGTAGTGAGTGAAAACTATTACGGTTTCATTGTTTGTTTATATACAAACTTAACTATTATACAGAGAGAAAAGAGAATGTTTTTAACTTTCTTTAATTTTGGGCGTGAATTACGGAAGACGACGGTCTTTTTAGTTTTTTTTAAGCAAATTAATAAGAAATGTCATAAAAGATTTAAAGTAGCAAAAAATTATGGGGGTGATTGGTTGAACTGCAGATTTAAAAATTTTACTGTAGAATTTAGACTGTAGATGTTTTTGATGTGGTTGTATCTAATGTAGCTGTAGAAATTAAATGAAAAAAATATATAAAAGGAAAGATATTCCTACAACAATCCTACAGCAATAATTTTTTGCTTTAGAAAATAGGGTTCCTACAACCACTTTTACATTTTTTTTACTTTAGCTTTAAAAACTACTTAAACCATGATTGGTGATTTAAATGGTTGTAGATAGAAATTAAAGCTAAAGTCATTACTTACAACCCAACCAATCACCCTCATGTTTAAGCGACATCCACGGGAAAGATTTTTGGATCGACGACAATGATGATGACTTATGATGAGTTTGATCGATCACTCTTCGTTTTTTTGTTTACGTATTTAATTCTTTTTATTGTGTTAGATCTTCTTTCTAGGTTTTCGTAAATTATATTATCATGTTTTTCGTAAATAGAAAAAGAACACTTTTTCTTTATGTTTTTGTTTTAGAGAAAATGAAAGTGACTAAATACTCTATGGTTTTTACACATTATTTGATTTATTATACTTTAGTTGGTTTTACATTGTTGAATTTCGATATTTCTAGCGAGACAGAGCGTGACCAATTTATTATTAGGCAATGGGAACTAGTTTGACTAGTGGTCAGTATGTGAGATTGAGCTAATACAGACAAAAACGGTGGTGGGTCGTTGTTGACTTGTGTTTCCCATTTTCTGTATTATTTTCAATAATGTATAGTTTATATACACACCGCACTTGTCTACATGTTAATTACGCGGCAACACATTTGATAATAATTTTGTAGCCTTATTGTGTATTGTTAGACTATTTTTTGTTCTAAGTATCACACATATGGTTCGTTTGGAATCCTTTTTGTTCAGTGACCTCCTTTGTGTTATTAAAACGCGTATTGAGATTTAAATGCTACTCATTTTTAAAGTACTAGTAAAATAGCTCCTTGGGATTTGAGCTTTGATAATCAATTATACTTTTGTTTCTCATTGAATTTTTGAACTATTGTTGGATCATGTGACTTTATATTAACAAAATTTCCAACCAACCTATATACATTTAAAACACTTCAAAGATAAATTAAATGCAGTACATACGTGTAAGTGGGAGCAGCATTCATTGTTCAAAGTCGAAATTCAAATCCACCACAAAAGATAACATTTTTGAAAAAATAATACTCCGTCCATTTCGTTTTCTTTTCTAAAAATATTATTTTAACATTTTCCTACAAATTAATAAAATAATTGAAATAGATTTATTTAGCAAACATTTTTTTAGATAAATAAAATTAGCAAGATCAATATAGTTTACAATTAGTATTAAACTAAATATAACTTGCATTAAACTTTTTCAATGACATTATTTATTTAACAAGAGAAAAAAATCAAAATGAGACTATTATAAAATACATATAGTATTTTTTTTTTTTGAACATTGTCTATGTTACTAATAAATGAAAGCTTTTTGGTTTGAAAATTGATTTCCACTACTATTTCTATTTAGAAATATTACGGTACATGTTTTCATCAAAATCACTAAAATTAAACATTTAAATTATCTAAAAATATTATTTAGATTTACAATTAAAATAACTTAAACTGTTAAAGTGTAAATAATCACTGAAATTATTGTAAAAATACAGTATTTAAGAGATCTTATATTTTGGAAAAATCACAATTTAAAACATTTAATCATCTAAACACTTCAAATAAAGAGAGTAAGGAATTTGCCCCCCAAAAAAAAAAAAGAGTAAGGAAAAGAAATAGAATAAGGAAAAGGCAGATTGTGTTGACTTTAACTTTCCGGCAGACATCTTTCTTTAATAGCTCACATAATTACGCAACTTTCCCGTTTTTTGATATTTTCATGTCTCCATGACCCAACCATAAAACCTATTCTAACAGTCACTATTATTATTTCTCGACTATACTATAGTGAAATTAGGTGGCCGATATACAAACAATCAATTTGTTGACTTAAAGTTAGGTACTACTTATTATTAGTATCAGGATATAAGCGGAATATTATTTCCAATCAGTCTCACAATAAAACACTACATAAGAAATTGTGTAGAGTCATCACTAATCTCACAAACGAATGGTTTGGTTTCCCAATGAGTAAAAGATTCCAGATGGATCCAAAATCTAATCAGCAAAGTTTGAGCATCAGATTTGATTACATTTTTACGATCATGGTAACTCGCAAGCGGCTTTACCAACAATTGATTTATACTGGACCAAGCAGCTCGGCAACGGTTTTGCATCGACATTCTTTTCAGGTCGTAACACGTCTCCATAAACCACCATTTTGATGACATCGAGCTCATTTATGTGTACATCACCAAAGTTGAAGCAAATAGGCAGAGTATAAAACTCACAGACACTTGGGTTAATCTGCGTATGATCATTGTAAGTCTAAGAACAGGAAAACATGCCAGAATATCTATAATCTTTAAACTCTTTTTCGAAAGAATATCCCGTTATTAAAAAGCATTATTTAAACTCTCCTATCAAATGTAAATTAACAACTCAAGGCACTGCTTTTGTGTTTAAAGAAGATATTCCAAGTAGCTAAGATACATTTCTTGATATGATAAAAGAAATAAGACCTAAAGCAAAAGCAACTACCCACATGTATATGAGATTGGCATAACTTCTAACGAACAATGAAAATGCAACACAACATATCAAAACTTTATGAAGACAGAACGGTAAAAAGCATTGCGCAGACAAATGTATTCAGTAGAGCATACTATATAAAATAACGTTCATGATCTTACAATCTACATGATTTCAAGTATGAAAATCACATTCAACCTTCGTTCCATCTTACCAATGATTACGCTGGAAAAAAAAAATCTATGCTCCATCATCATTGATGAATAGTAAAATCTACATGATAACAACATAATCAAGTACGTTCAAGCTTTTCCCCATCTATGGCTCATCACCATCAATTCATCATCACCAATCACCATGATATTCACATGTAAACATATCCGTGAATTGCAGGTCACATGAGTACCCCTTAAGTGTGTTTGCATCCACATTTTCTTGAGCTGACTTTAATCTATTCGTTCTAGTTAGAAGAATCTGACAACTTTCTACCTATGCAAAAAAAAACACCTAAATTCAAATGTCACATTGGGGAAGATGACTGAGTTCATGCTTTCGGATGACATTATTATTTTACATGAGCTTATTTAATCAAACATACTAATTAAATTTAAAAGATAAGAAAAGACCATTGTCCCAATTGTTCATTCATAGGCCAACATTGACGGCCCATTATGATCAAAAGTGATCAAATGTGAAGCTAACGAATAAAACCCGGTTAAGCCAACTGCACTAACAAAGATTTGTAATATTTTTGGGCCGAAATATTACTTAATTTACACATGATCAGAAGCACAAGCTTCTACAGTTTGTACTCAGAACCGGTTCTACCACTGACGCTGAGATTTTTCTTGTAATAATTTTTTTGTTTTGTTTTATAGTATCATAATTTTATTTTGGTTGTTTATCCAAAGATTTTGGGATTTTTTTTGGTTTTTCAATTTGGAGATATACTCGTTTTACTATCACAAGTGGTTTGACGGATTCTAGAACAATTTTTTTTAAAAAAAACTTTTTGGGAATAGAATTAACCAAAAAATAAATTTATATTTATTTATAGCTTTTATCGTGTAGATAATAAACCTGACTATAATCCGTTGTGATGAGGAAAGCACTTCAAGTTTTCTGAAAACATGTAACAAAATCATTCTAGTAGAAAGGTATATATACTATTTTATACTTCAAATTTTATATATCAGTTCATATTTTCTAATGGTTTAGATATATTTTTCAAGAAATTGTTTTTTTAATACGATACATTTTATCAACTTTTTCTGTTATTATTTTCGATAGACTATATTCCATCAGTATAGTTTTTAGAAAAAAAAAACTAGTAAATTATACCATTATATTTTCATACGCTTAAGTCTTTTTTCTTTCTTTCTCAAAAGTTCTTTTCGAGACCCATTCTCGGAAAAAGCCTTTGAAGTTTATATTATGACATAAATATTCTTCTCTGTTGATAAGAAATCTTTTTGTTTGCCACTACCTAAAAAAGCACAACTATTATTATGAAAAAGATTTGCAGAAACTTGGAAAGAGCTGCAGTTTAAGAGAGGCAAATTCACTCCTCGAGAAGAAGAAGAGATCTTCAGACTGGAGAATCTCAGGATCATAGCTCAATAGATTTGGAACTTTCTTTAAATTCTTCATGTGACTTCTGTTTTTTATAACTGAATGTTTTATTTCCTGTTTGTTAATCAACTGAAAATTTTTCTTCCAATCTTTGAAAAATATACATCACTCTAGTCTAAACGGGTTTTCACAAAATACCATACATTTATATATAGTTTGCAATACAAAAATAATATATATATATAGTTCGCAATATATACATATATATATGTATGATAAAATAGAAGTTAACTATTTATATATATTTAAAAAATAGTAACTTAATTCTTTCATGTGTAATGGTCCTAATGGATGTGCAGAAATCAAAATGGACAGCAATGTGAATTTTAATCACTGATAATGTATGATAATTCATAATCCAAACAAAATGTATATATGTATATATTAATCACATTGCTAGCTGATAATCACCATTTCTGCTAACGGATGTGCAGAAATCAAAATGGACAGCAATGTGGCTAAAGTCAATCAATTATCACGAGATCTTTTTCTATGTGAGCGGTTCAGGAAAGTTATTATCTCAAAGAAAAGTGATAAGACATATTATAATATATAAGAGCCAACATAGAACTAATTCACTTTGCTCACTGGTTTTAAATTAGAACCCCAAACTTATAATATATAAACATATAATGGAAATTGCACTCTAAACATAATTTTGGACGTCTAATTGAATATGATTTTTTCTTTTCATTTATGGGGAAAATACTGAATAGTTGTATTTTGTCAAATAAGTTTAAGAAGAAAATAAATTGGATTTGTTTTAAAACTACAAAGTCTAGAAAACAATGAGATACTGTAGTAATTAACTTTTTGTAGAATGTAGTAATTAACTTTATTATAAATTTTTTATATTATAATATAAGGTTAATTAGAAAAACGAGTAATCATTTCAAAACATGTAATCGTTCTTCTAATTATCTTTAAAAATATCGAAAATGTACTGAAGATAAAAACACAAGAGTGTGTATGGGAAAAGATCAAAATGATGAGAGGAGCTCTTTTAAAAAAAAAAAAATGATGAGAAATAGCAAAAAGGTGTTGACAATGAAAAGATTCGACCCGGAAAGGTATTTCGCTGTCAATGGAGCATTCCTTTTATTATTTTTATTCATATAAATTATAAACTGATAAACACATATGATACAAAACACATATGATAAACTGATAAATGGTTTCAAAAGGAAAAGATGTGAGCATGGTATTATCTGCAAGGACCAACAAAAATTAAGTACCACATGCCCTTCCGCTTCCTTTTCCCAATAGTAAATTAGTATCCACCATTGCCAGAGGTATTTTGACTTGCTCCCTCGCTGTGATCCTTGGAAGTCATTCCAGAGCCTGTTGAATAATTTTGATGGGTCGAAGCATATGGTTGCCCGGCTGGTTTTCATATTGTATTATGACTTATGAGCTGAGATGGGAAAGAAGAAAAAGTGACGTACTAAAACTATTTGATATTTGAGTGATTGTGTGAGTTTACTTATCTGTTTTTGATCTAAACTGTTTATATTCAATTTAAGATAGACAAATAGTACCACGATTGTCATTATTTGTATTTTCATATATCAAAACTTTTATGTTTTACGTACAAGAATCCACATAATCACCATTGAGTTTGTCATTTATGTTTTATGTTAAACGGTTTTTCCTTATATACGTTTACTTTTATTAGATTTTAATATTTTGCTAGCTAAAAAAGAATGTATTAAAACAAATATATTGTGGTAACAAATTACAAACTAGTCGAACTAAATGATTTAATTTTTACAGGCTTAAGACCAGGTTCAATTTTTTATTTTATTTTCCAGGCGTTATTTAATTGATATTTAATTTAATCCCCTAAATTATTTTACTATTTATTTTGAGCGCATACATTTTGACAATATTTAGGTACTTTTGGTAGAAAATTTATACTTTAAAAACAACCTTTCAAATATATTATAAGAAAACTTTTAAATATGGGCAGGAATTTGAAATAAAGATTTAACATGAAGATATAATAAAGATCGTAAAATAACATTAAAACATCAAAATAAACATATAAGAAGAAAAACAATCATTTTTATCGTTTACATGGATATGGAACTACCGATTTGGTTCACAAAGTCAATATGAATCTGTTTTTATGTTGATATAAAAAAAATAGAAAAAAAAAATTAAACGGCCTTCATTTTAAAAGTGAAAATAAATATACTTAAACTTATAATTATATTCTTAATTAAATATATAAAAATATTAAACATTTTAAAGATACAAAATAATGAATTATATAATTACTATATTGTACATTTGGGTTTTGAGTTTAGAGAATAAAATTTAGGGAATTAATATTTATGGAATAGAGGTTAAGGTTAGGATTTAGAATTTAGGATAACTTAAGTGTTCTTTTAATTTATTTTAGAGATTCTTGTTATTTTCTATAACAACTATTTTATAGGAAAACTATTTTAATGCTAACAATGGAAGTGTTTAGAAAAAGCCGTTAAATGATTGGAGGTGCTCTATATCAGTATATTACTATATCCTTCTACACAATCCCACTGCTCTTTCACTTTAAGTAAAAAAGGGAGGGGGAGAGAGAGACTCTTTTCCAAATTAAATAAACTAACACTACAAAAAAAAGGGAATATTGTTACTATTCTTTGATACTAAATTTATTCGTCACATTTTTGTGACATAAGATACACTGATTGGTGACTATTTTTTTCGGTAAAGAAAAAGTAGTTATTTAGTCACAATTTTGTGACCATTTTTTTAGTATCCAAATTTTGTCACATTTAGTGACGTAAATATGACGGGAAAAAACGAGACAACAAATGTGACATAATTGTAACTATATATATTGTTGCGCTAGTCACGAATATGTGACTAAAATTTATGTCTCCATTTGTGACCATTAAGAAACTAAATGTGTGTGACAAAGTTGTGCAAAAGGATGATTAACTAAAATTTCGTAAACAAACTATAGTTGAAATTAGATAATTTATTCTCTAACTTGTTTTCTATTATTTAAATATTTTGCAAATTTGATGAATTAATCCAAAACGCCAAACATAGGAACTGTTTGCCTTTCTTCAAGTTCAGTGACTTCTTCTTCTTAACTTTCAACTTCATGTGTTTGCCTTTCTTCAAGTTCAGTGACGTCTTCTTCTTAGTGTTACTTCATCTTTTCTGTTTTCTTTTGTGCCACACGGTTTATTTTTTTTTTAAACCATCACCTTGGCTTTTTCCAACGTAGTCCTTTTTGGTCTTCTCTTGACCATCAACTCGGTCTTCTCTAGCCTCAGTCGTCAGGTTTTCCAAACCTTTACCTTAGTCCTCTTTGCCTTTGTTTTTTTTTTTAAATTATCAACCACACGTCTCCTTTGACGTCTCGTTTTGTGTCGGTTGATTTGGAAACCCTGTTCTCCATCAACGCACATATCTCTTGTGTCTTTAAGATAACCATTATCTTAATACACCTAAAGACCTCTGCATCAAACATGAGAAACGTATTTTACGTTTCTTCTTGGTTTTTTACAAAAACTCTTTGCAGATTTTTTGCTTTATTTTCTTTGTGATTCAATTGGCCCTTGAACCTTAAAAGCTCTGATACCATGTTGGACAAAATAAAGAGAACAATATATAGTCCTCAGAACTCAGATCAAAGCTCATTAGAGATCTTTTTTGTTTGTAAGAAGCTAAATAATACAGAACCCATTCCTGTTTTTATTCTTTGAAACTTTCACAGAATGCAGAGACACAATTCGGCAACGTAGTGAGTATATAGTCTGGACAGAGCGGAACAGAACACTGTATAATGGTACTGTAATTACACCGGAATCAATCTTCCAGCAGTTGGATCGTTTCGTTCGATCGTTATGCAAACCGTGGGCTAGGAACCACAAAGCTTTCATACCTCTCATGTGGCTGTAGCTCAGTACGAGCA